GAATTTCTCCAGAGTCCAGCCATGTAGTAACCGTTATTGCAGGTAGACCAACCTTTCTCATCAAAACTATTCCACCAGTTGTGGGTGTAACAATCTCGTTCACCCCTTGCCGAAAAAAGGTAGTCGCGCGCATCGACACAATATGCTTCCTCGATAAGATGAATGTAATCGTCACTGTTCTTTCTGCTGTTCCTGTACAAACCCGCCATGTACCTGCCACGCCCACAGGTTGACCATCCTTTTTTGTCAAAGGTATTCCACCAGTTCTCGTTGTGGGTATGAATTTCTGGTCTTCTAACAAGTGATTTCATGTAATTCTTCCATCCGATGTTTGTCTGCCACTCGTGACTTAGTCTACGAAGAACTTGTTTCGCGACATCAATGTTGCCAACGACGCTCACAGAATAAGCACTGGGTCCACCGCAGCAGCTTTGAGGGTCATGACAGGGCGACCACGATCGACATCTGCTGGTGCATCGATTTTTTGCGACTTTATGTCCTCTGGGGTAAATGTTTCCGCACTGACATTGATCTCCCTTCGTCGCCGCCAAAATGTAACCCTTATCTCTGCATATGTCTTGACACTTCACGTTAGAGTTGTGACCCCCCATTTGTTTTGTCAGACCTGCGCCTGCAACAGAAGAGAAACATCCCTCCACGGTGTATGTATTTACAGATCTTTTTTCCCGCGGGGTTTCAACGTCTGCCGTTAATATGACCATCGGTAGCAAGACTGTCAACAAGACCAACACTTCTGGGAAAAGCATTTTGAATCTCTAATAATAATAAGAATAGGTCGTATTCAGAAGCACAGGGGCCGGTTGTATCAGGGTTTCACAACTTATTTGGATACGGCTATCCTCTTAGGGGGATGGCAATGACAAAAGAGAGAAACAAAGAACTTTTGAAAAGAATGCATAAAATATTATAGTGAAACAGACCCCTCCATTCCTTGTGGTTGCCAATTGCACGGAAATTTCCTTGCATTGTGGAAACGCTGGGTTGTATGAAAGCCGGTTGGTTTTTCCAATCGTTTTCATATCGTGCGTTGTTTGGTATAATTTTGATTAAATCTTAGTTCTCCTAATTGAGGATCCTCTTTAATTATTGTTGATTCCTAAGCTAAAATTTTATTGCTTTTCAAGCATTTTTAGAACAGTTGAAAAAATCAGTAACCGGTGGATAACGCCATACGGCTTTCATACAACCGACCACGAAAGCACTTCTTCTTACTTGGTTCCGATACAGTGTTTTTTTTAATTGTTTTCAACTTAAAAGGTGTTTCATTACATTTCACTAAGCCTTGACTCAAACTTGTTCTCGACCCTCGACAATATGTCGAATCTTCGAGGCTTTGTGAGCTCTTGATTATATATTACAGCACAAATGGGGCATTTCCTGACGGAAGTGCTCACTTCCAAGTATTGTATTAATAACGTTTTACACTTGAAAGGCTCTGTGAAGTGAGAAACAGCTTTCAAACGCTATCTTTGTTATTATTTGTGTATTTGACGAACAATCATATGAACAGTCCCTTAGAAGTCCCTAAGTTTTCTTGTTTATTTCAAGCAACTGTGCATAATAATGCATGCAACACATTTGATCATTACTGCCATTAGCGTTCAAGCTTTGAAGCGTGCAAAATATTTTGCGGGGTAATTAGCCACGTTTGGCCAAAGATATTGATTCGTTAATATGAGCTAGCCTCTTTCGCAGGCATCTCTTATGTATTAACGAAATGCATATTTGGCTTGGGCTAGCTGTGTCTGGGAAGCGTGAAAAAGACACAGCTAACCTATGCCTAATATAACTAATATAAATACATAAGAGATGCCTGCGGAGGAGGTTAATTATGAGTATGCAACGGTTATTATTAGTAACGAAAATGACATGTTTTGATTCGTAAAACAGCACGTTTGGTAATAAACGTTAAGTAAATATAATAAATACAATGAAACCCGCAATTTGATTGTAAATGGTTCAAACGTGCTGCTTGTCAATCAAAACATGTCAAAAAATAACCGTTACACCCTAATAACAAATGATCAATATCAAGCTGTCAAATTTCGCCCGAAACGTCGTGTTTTAAACGTAAACAAATGCAAATATTTTGCAAGCCTTAAGCTTGACCGCTAATGGCAGTATGATTTGATTGAAACAATTGAAAAAGTATTAATTCGAAAAAGCTATCGTTCTCCACCCGAGCAAGTAGGACTAGTACAAGTACAGTTAGTATACGATATCCTTAACTTGTACAAGTTTAGACCATGTCAGGAACGTCGCTTGAGGTTTAACTGGCCGGAAGTCTGTATATTTTCATATTGATATAACTCCTGATTTCAATCCATTTTTTTTAAAAAAATAGTCGGGAATAGGACGCATAACCCTCAACTTAAATCACCTATTAAACGCTATCAATGATTGAAACCTTAGACTAGAGTTTCAAGCGACGCTGGGCCAGTATAACTAAAAGTTGGGTCTACTTAAAGACCACTTAATTCACGAAACATTTCAGTCGAATCCTCTCTTTGTAATAGTTCAATAAGAGTATAAAATGAATATCGTGCAAAAGATTTAGTTCACCGTTAAAGCGGCAAATTAGGTCTTCTAAGATTATTCTCACCTGAGTTTGGTTTAGGTGACAGCAGGCCTTCGTTTTTTCACGTTTTTCCTGTGGCTTGAAATGGCTATAGATGTTTGTCAATTTTCACGCGTTGCTTCGTCTTTGTAGGTTGCAAATGTTTGACTGCGGTAAGCACCAAGCTTTTATGTGCACATGCAGACGTGCATGAAATCAAATCGACAAACACAGGAAGTTCAAACGAAATGTTAAGTGATTGTGGGAAGATTTGTCAACAACTTTGATTTCCCCTCGTAACACGTAACTAGGGGATCTTAGTATTGAGTTGATTGACATGTCAACAAAGCTAGCCTTTTAGACAAATATATTGGACAGTTATATAGTGTGGTGGCTTAGAAGATTGCTATATAGTGTAGTGGCTTAAAAGCATCTTGCCTTCGTATTGAATTCGCGAAGTGTTAGAAGTCGAATATGATAGAATATTTGGAGGACCGGGTACTAGTTTGTTTTTGGAGGCGACTAGGTCCTTATGAAATTAGGACTTTGGTCTTTATACGCAGGGCAAGATTGTCAGTTCTGCTAAATTAAACATCTTTAATTAAAGAATAGCATATGTAAAATTGCTCAGGTGAAATATACAAAAACGTCCCGGTCCTCTCTATATATTCGATCAAATACGACCTCTCAGTTCTCATAGCAATCCGATATATTTGCCTAAAAGGCTAGCTTTGTTGACATGTCAATCAACTCAATACTAAGATCCCCTAGTTACTTGTTACGAAGGGAAATCATGCAATGGTGTTGACAAATCTTCCCAAAATCATTTATCATTTCTTTTGAACTTCCTGTGCTTGCATGTGGATTTGATTTCATGCTCTGCTTGTGCACATAAAAGCTTGGTGCTCACCTGTTAGAATGTGGTAACATGTTAGATTGTCAAAAACATGAAAATAAGAAGTTCTTTATAAACAATTTTTGTAAGTATAATATGGTTTGTTTTTGGAGGCAATTAGGACCTTATGAAATTAGGATATTTGGTCTAGGGGGAAGATTGTCAGTTCTGCTAAATTAAACATCTTTGATTAAAGAATAATAGCACATGTAAAATTGCTCAGGTGAAGTATACAAAAAATATTTATAAAGAACCTCTTATTTTCATGCTTTTGACAATCTAACATATTACATGTTTGGTATTTTCGCGTGTATAGAGATCTTAAAAATTAATGTTAATTGCGTAATGCGTAGCATTGCTGATGCGTACAAACTACAACCAGCCGTCTTATAATGGAAAAAAAAAAGGAAAATTAAAAATTTATTATCTTACATTGAAATATACTAACAATTTAAAAACGTTTAAAAAGACTTTTCGGTTTGAGTTTTAATTTTTCTGAACGAATATTATTACCGTTGATTTCCAACAATCGATTTTGAAAACGAAATCAGTTAAGTAAGTATACGGTATGACAATGAAATGAATGAATAACTAGGAAGGCTAGGAAGCGTTCTCCTTCGTCGAACGTAATTAATATATACAATTTTCGTGCATTGGCCTAAATATACTCACGCGATTGGTCAAAATCGATCACGTGGTTTCTTGTTGCGTGGCGACAGATCATGGGAATAATAATTTATTCGCAATAACCCATGAAAATCGTGACTTATTTGCAATAACCATGAAAATCACGGTTATGCAACAAAGCTTGGATCTTCAATGCAGCAATGAACCCAGATGAACTACGGCCTCGTGCAATATTGAAATCTCGAGTTCATTGTATAGTCACCAAGTGCGTTCATTTCTCAACAAAATACTTACAACAGTCTCTAACCCTTAAATAACCTGAACTTTGAGTGAATTGCTGGAAAAGTATTTTAAAATTTTGGCTCACCACCGCGGATTAAGTTAAACGCCTCACTGGTGCGTGAAAAAGACTGACCATATTGTTTTCTTGCTCAATACCATGCATTTAGATTTTATACCGACAGCTTTCAACTGACTACAGAACAAAGGGTTTTGGCGCGTTCACTCGTACGCAATTGTAGTGGCTTTTTTCCACGAGGCGGAACTTTGTGCGCGAGCGAAATTGTTTCTTTTTCTAATATTACTTTTGCATGATTTAAGAGAGCGCACAGACAATGGAAAGTTTAATTCCGAGCGCAAAATTCCACCTGGTGGAAAACAGTCCTATTTAAAATTGATTATATCGTATCGTCCGGAGGCGGCAAGAGACACGATCCGAAATATCATGATATGGTGACGTCAACAAGGCTAAAGTACGGCTTTCTTATGTTTCCGCATGCGCAGTAATCATGCAAGAAAAGATTGGTTAACCAGTGGATGCAATGAGATTTAAACAGCCATTGAAATTTATTAAGAAAAAACACACTTACTTTGTTTCAACTATATTTCTAATTCCGTAATTTTCTCCAAGTTAATTAACAAAGAAAAAATCTTCTAACAAAAAGCGTTCGACTATATCTTAGCTACAATATTGATGACCTAAACGTCTCACTCTAAATGTTCAAAATGACGCGACTGAATACTTTAGTAAATGTTATAAAGTTCACAAAACCTGTTCATATGTTGTCTTCCTCACAAATCACAATTTTCTCCTTTTCCTGCCTCATGCTCACATCCGTCAGACTTCTTATTCCCATACTTGTCAGAGATCACCACTCTCAAGACATCTCTGCTCGGGTAATTCCAACTCCCAAATACGTACATTTGTCTTTTCGACCCAGATAGCACAGTCGTCACATCTTGAGAGACTTGCTTACCATTGCTCCATTTAGCAAAATATTTTCCCAACAACTCAAATGTTGCATTCCACTTGTACTCCAAGTCCTCAACAGTTCTGAGAAGGTTGATGGTGATTTCAGTGTTTTTCGGCACTTCAATGGAAACATCCGTCTTATCCGTAGTCGTGTACGTATTCGTCTTGCTGGATTCGACATTAAAAGAGGCTGTGGTCGTGACTTCAGTTGTAAAGGTGCTTTTCGCTCCTGTGCCAAAGAATCCTGCACTGACTTCCACAGATGCCCCAACTTTTACCGCCACAGAGATTCCTGAACCGATTTTGAAGCTGGATGAAGTTGATACAGATGTCGTGAGCCACTTCGTGCACTTGTATGGATTAGGATGAGCGGAGCATATGACTGGACGGAAACCTTTGACTGGTTGAGGTGCGGCGACGTTCAGTGGCGATTTTTCTTCGATGTTGAAACTCGCAGCATTGAGTGCCAAAATGTCGGAGCGATCGGAAATAGTGTTGCATTTGTATGTGTTGCTATCAGCAGATTTATCCATCGAATTAATTGAGCACTGCTTGAGCTGTCCGGAAGTATCTTTAACTTTTATCACAAGGTCAGGTTTGCTTACCCACGAATTTTCATTGTAAGCTCCCATCTTGCAGCATTTAAATTTAACCAAGCAGCTTAATTTGTTACACGAGCTCCTGTATAACCCCGCCATGTAGTATCTACTTTTACAACTGCTCCATCCCTTGCTACCGAACGATTTCTGGACATTTTGATTGTAACAATGTCCCCATTTTTTCACCTGGAACTTTGGTCGGCAGCATTTGGCTTGTTCGATTTTGTCTAATTTATTTCCCGAATTTCGCCAGAGTCCCGTCATGTAGTAACCGTTTTTGCATGTCGACCAACCTTTTTTGTCGAAACTTTTCTTCCAATTGTGGTTATAACAATCCCGATCATTTTTTGTTAAATACAGAAGGCCAGGAACATCGGAACACTTTGCCTGATCGAGAAGGGAAATAGGGTCATTTTTTGTTTTCTTCTTCCTATATAATCCCGTCATGTACCTGTCTTTTCCGCATTGCGACCAACCTTTTTTGTTAAAAGATTTCTTCCATTTCTCTACATGGTTTCCAATCTTTCTTGGAATTTTGCCTATTGCAACAAAATTTCTCATGTGATCTCTGTACTTCTTGTTCGTCTGCCACTCGTGACTTAGTCTACGAAGAACTTGTTTCGCGACATCAATGTTGCCAACGACGCTCACAGAATAAGCACTGGGTCCACCGCAGCAGCTTTGAGGTCCTTGACAGGGCGACCACGATCGACATCTGGCGGTGCATTGACTATCAGCGACTTTTTTTCCTTTGGGATACACGTTTCCACACAGACATTTATCTCCATTCGTCGCCGCCAAAATGTAACCCTTGTCCCTGCATACTTCTTGGCACTTTACGTTGGAGTTGTGGCCCCGCATTCGTTTTCTTAGACCCACGTTTGAAAATGAGGAGTAGCAACCCTCAACGGCGTAGGATACTGATCGTTTCTTCCGAGTGTCTACATCTTCCGCTGATATTACGATCGGTAACAGAACGGTCATCAAAACGAAAATTTCTAGGAGATGCATTTTGAATCTCTCTAAAAGTAATAAAAACATGTCTGTTTAAAAATCCTATCGACCTGATTCACATTACAGAGTATCCCAAACCACCCTCCCCCAAAAAATATCCCCAAGAACCATGCATGTTTGGACCCACAAGTGTATTAACCTTTGGCATAAGCATTTTTATTGTAATTATACACTTAACATAATTTTACACTTTACATGCAAATATGGATGACAATATTCAAATATATGTACAACCGAAGCACCATGACCTTTGACATACCCTTCTTTTATTTAGCATTTTATAAATTGCATGGGTTAATCCTCACGGGCAAAAATTCGCGCACAAGTCATTTAAATTTTGAATCATATCCATTGACGTATTTTTCATTTTAGATCATATCCGTTGTATCATTTTTCGATCAGACAAAGGATTTTGCACACCAGTTACGTAAGACAAAGGTCAAAGAACCTTGCAAAATTACATCTTAAAAACAATATATAAGACTATATTTCCCCATACAGTATATAGCTAATTTTGTCGGAAACTGCATTAAAAGAGCGAAGCTTTTCTCGGTTTTCAAAGGAAAATAATCCATAACATTGTGGCACTATTAATGACTGTACGGCGGTGGTCGGCCTACCCGGATACTGGATAATATTTTGGTTAAACGCACATTTTTGACCGATAATACAGAGGAAATGATAAACTATTGAAGCGCATCGTTGCGTTCGCCGCGTATAAAGGGGGTTTTCTTAAGAGAGTAAATATGAAGGAAAACTGATCTGTGAGAGCACATGTCTTGTTTGAACTGTGAAAGCGAAGCACGTGATGAAAATAAACCAATAGGAAATAAAGAATCAAAACAAATTAGAATTCATGAACCATTCCGCTGTCAAAGATGTATCTACACTATATAGACTGATGCATGCGGAGTCCAATACACCAACTGTAGGCTGTAGCTGGTACAATTCACATGTATGCATGAGTTACACAGAATGACCTTTCTGGGTTTGCGAGATATAATATTCATATTCAAGTAAGATGTAATATTTATTAAACATCAGTCTATTTGATCTACTTTAATGCGAAATAGAGTTTCGTGAATATTAAATTAAATTTTCATTAAAAGTTCAATAGAGTCCTAACAGTGTATTATAAGAGTTATTCACGGGTATGTTGAAAACATGTTACAGCGAGTCACTTGTCAGTTCTTACTTAAGTATAACGACAAAACGTTTAGAATATTTCGACATGGCAAATTGAAGTCTAAATGCAGCTCTTTTATATCGCGCAAAACAAACTGTAATAAACAAGGATCCGTTTCCTTCAAATATGAGCGCATTCTTTTCAGTCTTAGTCTACGCGAAATTTCCATTCTGAAAGAATATTTTGAGAGATATGGCACCAGATCAGTCAAAATGTATTATTATCTGAATGATAATCATTACCAATCTAGAATATCATAACATTGTCGAAATTAGCAGCTTTTGAAAACTGAAAGGTTTTTTTAAAAAAATCGCGTGGCGTTGGCGAATCCGTCATCCGTGTGTGTTGGCTTTGACGCAAATATCAGATTTGTCCGCGTCAATAGGTGCGTGCGCGCTTATATCTACATGAACAGGCCACATGCGGTCACAACTTGACTTCAAAAATTACGATTTTATCATTCATTACCCTGAAAAATAAAGATTTCGCACCTAATATGTACATAACCAAATGAACCCCTCTATATACATCATGGCTGGAGTGGACACGATAAACTTCTCACAATCAAGTTAAGCTTGACGAACATCATTACAGAAAGCCAAAGACGTTTGAATATTTGAACTTTTCGACAAAGATCGAGAAGCATAAAGGCATTAACATCGGTACAATGCATAAACTTATAAACTTTTATTAACGTAACAACATATATCATGCACCATGTAGAGATTTTAATTCAACCTGGAGCCGGTTGTATCAAGCCCGTTTACCTTGAACGGTGGTTATGTTCAAAATAGAAAGCAAGTCTATCGTTTTATTCAAAAGCAATCTAAATGTTTTCAACCTCAATACAAAGATACTGTTTACAACTACATGTTCAGTGCACATTATTCAAGTTGACTCATTGAAGAGAGAAGTAAGAGTGTTATTGAAATTTGAATTATCCTAAACTAAAGCTAAACGGGCTTGATACAACCGGCCCCTGTCAGATAATGGAATACGTATTACCAAAGATTTTTCTTTGGTGCCGTGCAATTTAGTTCTTACCTGAGTTAGGTTTGATGCCAGACTTTAACCGAATGTAGACGTTGTAAATTGAATTTTTTCTTCTCAGAGTTTGGCTAATTCTTCTTCGTGCAAATGTCTTCTCTATACGATGCTATTGTGAGACTGTGTGCTGTGCAAATGATTTCACCAAGTCCTACTTTATATGCGAGGGGAAGCAAATCAAGCAATTAAATAAACAAACACAGGAAATCCAAATTTCCCCTGTCGACGACCCAAGTACTGCGTAACCAGGGGATGTTAGTATTGGATTACTTGATTACGCCAGTAATATACTACGCTATTAAGTACCCATGACATTTGTGTCGTTTTGTAATGGTCGAGAAAATCAGATAACTAGGTTCGAGATGCAAAATGTAAATCCATCATCTAAGGGAACTGATTGTAATTTGCCGTCCCGCGGACTTAATAAAAATGCTATAATTTGAAAATATATACAATACTTTGCATATGTAGTAAAACTTGCATTAATTGTTAGTTATTCAGGACCTTACCAGACCTGTCTCAAACGTCGACCATTTCATGCGCCCAAATGCATGCAAATGAACTTAAACAAAGACTTTAGCACATAAACATTAAGTTCGGCACATGCAAAGTCCGACTACAATTACATGGTTTCGTTTTAAGATCCACCGCTTTTAGTAATACTTTTAAACACCACCAGCATGAAAGACTGTAATCTATGCATATGTTGGCAAGGTTGATGGTTCTCATTCATGCAAGCCTTCCAGCCTTCCAGCCCTTTCTTTACACGATATCCGGATTCGTTCGTCATGCACGACATATTCCGGTTGACGTCAATTGACGTCATGCACGACATATTTCCGTTGACGTCAATGCTGATAGATCTCGTGTCATTCATTATGGTCTCGAGCATTAAGACCTTCACCATTCATTAACCGCAAAATTTGACCAATTCGGAATTCGGATAGCAATCCGGCACCGTGAAAACGGGACCGAATATTAAAGAAGGAAATCATTTACGTAAATGAAGTTTTGTGTTTAGGAGTTAAGTGCAGTCTTCCGTTCTGGTGGTATATTTCAATTCATGTTCAAATTAATCAGGGGCCGATTGTACCAAGGCTGAATAGCGCAATCCACCGGATAGTGATTTTACAACCGTTCTATAAAAATGCTCCAAAAGCGATAAAATCTCATCTTTGGAACCAACAATGGTTAAAGAGGATTCTAGATTTATCCAAGTGATAGCAAACAACTGGTGATTTTAAAGCGATTGAAAAAATCACTATTCGGTGGATAGCGCGGTGATAATCACTATCCAGCTTTCATATACCTACGTATAACCGGCCCCAGCAGCTACTACAAGCAATAACAAATTAATAAAAAGAGATCTTCAGAAAATTAGCTGACTTATTCAAATTTCGTCTATTTGTTCTCTTGAAGCATGTATATATGGAGTTGACACATTCTCGTACGTTCCGATGACGTCCTTCTGGGTTATTTTCGTTAAAGTTCATTCACAACTTAGTTTACATTCAGCGCCGAAACTGTCGCGCAAAAGTTCGGAACAAATTGTGTTGATAGAAACGAAATTTTGCTTTGTTTACAAGGTAGCTACGAGGTTGTGAATATTCCGCCGGGTTGAAAATCATCCTATTTAGGGTTAGGCCTATTTCTACTAGGCGGGATTTTGCGCGCGGAGCGGAATTTTTTTGTCTTTTTCTCACAGTAGTTCTGCATGAAAGCGCGCAAACAATGAAAAATTCCGCATTGCGCGCAAATTTCCGTCTAGCGGAAAAAAGCCCTTAATTATATTCGTGTAGTCTAGCTAGACTGCACGAATAACTTGTCTTTAGATTCAATTTACAGAAATTTTTAGACAACAGTAACACAAAATATAGCATGTATTCTACACGAAGAACTATTAGACACACTTATCGGAACAGCAAATCATCTCTGTACAACGTTGTTAAAGAAAACTTTGTAAACAGACATCGTGCCCAAAGGAAAACAAAAACACATTTGTTATTTGTTCAAATCCTGTTCAAATATATCGGCTTAAAATCATCGCAAATTCCGTCGAATGCGCATTCCTTTCATGAAATATCATTTCCATTGAAAATTGTTTGAAAAAAGGGTTAAAACCTGGTATGATTCATACAAAAAATCGCTTCACCTCTTGTGACTAGCCCACGCAAAAAAGTGTTTTATACTTACAAGACCATCTTGGCTTCACTCATTAATAAGGGAAAGTCAGAGAGCTGACGATATTAAATGCTGACGAGGTCGATGTTACAGCACAGTTATACCTTCAGGCTTTCTTATGATGTTTTGCCATGCGCAGTAGCGAGTCATGCAAAAAAGGATTGGGTAATCAATTTGCGACACGTGATCTAAACAGCTATTAAATTTATTATTCAAAAATAAAGAAAAACCCACCTATTTCGTTACAACTGTATCGCTAATTCTAATGTCTTTTAAGATGTCAAAATTATAACAGAAAATGTCTAATAACATGTCCTCTTGTTTAGAATGACACGACTGAATACTTGGTAAATGTTATAAAGTTCACAAAAATTGTTCATATATTTTCCTCTTCACAAATTGCAACTCTCTCCATTTCCTGCCTCATGATCACATCCCTCAGACGTCTCATTCCCATACTTGTCAGTGATTACCACTCTCAAGACATCTGTACCTGGGTAATTCCAACTACCAAATGCATATATCTGCCTCTTCGACCCAGCCAGCACAGTCGTCACATCTTGAGAAACTTTCAGACCACTGCTCCATTCTACAGAGTATTTTCCCAACAACTCGAAGGTTGCTTTCCACTTGTACTCCAAGTCCTGGACAGTTCTCAGAAGGTTGATGGTAATTTCAGTGTCTTTCGGTACTGCAATGGAAACATCCGTCTTATCCGTTCTCGTGTACGTTTTTGTCTTACTGGCTTCGACATTGAAAGAGGCTGCGGCCGTGACTTCAGTTGAGAACGTGTTTTTCGCACCAGCTCCTAAGAATCCTGCACTGACTTCCACAGAGTCCGAAACTTTAACCGCCAAAGAGAATCCTGTACCAATCTTAAAAGTGGATGACGATGATACCAATGTAGAGAGCGTTTTGGCGCACTGGTATGAATTGGAATGAGCTGAGCATATGACTGGATGGAAACCATCGACAGGTTCAGGTTTGGCGACGTTCAGTGGAGATTGGTCTTCGATGTTGAAATTCAAAGCATGGAGTTCCAAAATGTTAGTGGTATCGGAAATACTTTTGCATTTGTATGTGTTGCTATCAGCAGATACATCCTTCGCATTCATCGTGCACTCTTTGAGATTTCCGGCAGTATCTTTGATTTTGATCGCCAAGTCTGGTTTACTTACCCACGAATTTCCATTGTAAGCTCCCATCGTGCAGCATTTAAACTCTTCCAAGCAGTATAATTTGTCACACTCGTTTCTGTATAACCCCGCCATGAAGTATCCAGCTTTACAGATGCTCCATCCTTTGTCATCGAATGATTTCCAGACATTTTCATTGTAACATTCTCCCCATTTGCTCTCCTGGGTCTTCGGTTTGCAGCATTTGGCTTCTTCGATGTGGTATAGTTTACTTCCCGAATTTCTATAGAGTCCGGCCATGTAGTATCCATCTTTGCATGTAGACCAACCCTTTTTGTCAAAACTTTCCCACCAGTTGTGGTTGTAACAATCCCGATCTCCTTCTGCTGAATACAGGTAGCCAGGCGCATCACTACACTTCACTTGTTCGAGAAGATCAATAGCGTCTTCACTATTTTTGCTGTTCCTATACATTCCCTGCATGTACCTTTCATGCCCGCATTGTGACCAACCTTTTTTGTCAAAAGATGTCCACCAGTTATCGTTGTGGCTTACTGAGGCTGGCATTTTGATATTTGCCATCATGTAATTCCTGTATCCGCTGTTTGTTCGCCACTCGAGACCAAGTCTACGAAGAACTTGTTTCGCGACATCAATGTTGCCAACGACGCTCACGGTATAAGCACTGGGTCCACCGCAGCAGCTTTGAGGTCCATAACAGAGCGACCACGATCGACATCTGCTGGTGCATTGACTGTCGTTCACTTTTTTCCCCGCGGGGTATACGTTTCCGCACTGACATTGGTCCGCTTTCGTCGCCGCCAAAATGAAACCTTTATCTCTGCATATCTCTTGACAATTTACGTTGGAGTTGTGACCCCCCATCTGTTTTGTCAGGCTCACGCCTGGAACAGAGGAGTAGCAACCCTCAACAGCGTAGGATACTGATCGTTTCTTCCGAGTTTTCAGGTCTTTCGTTGATATGACCATCGGTAGCAAGACTGTGAAGAAAACCAACACTTCTCGGAGATGCATTTTGAATCTCTCTAAAAGTAAAAAAAACAAACATGTCGGCTCAATAATCCGCTGTTCATTGCTTATACCCTAGCAGGTTTGGTTACAAAGAGTAACTGGTCGAATTAAAAGATAGAAAAGCAACTTTTCGTTCTTGCCATTTCTTTACCAACCAAAACATTACATGTCTTAATTTTTATTCTATCCAACCGAATGCAATTATGTTACATAATTATACATATGACTCTGGCTAGGTGCGCACGAGCGTCGTTTTCAAGCCTTTTCAAAATCGTTTTTGTCTATTTTATTGTTTCGACGCCCTGTCCACACGCTCGAAAGAAAAATATGCTTCATATTATAAATTAGCTTCAACTTCTTTCATAAATTGACGTGCTTGAGACCGTTTTGGCGTGAAAACGAAAATGAAAACGCTCGAAAACGTTACCGTGTGCTCATAGTTTTATTGATCAACTGTAAATCACGTTAAAAACAATATAGAATAACGCATTGCTTGGTTTTTATTTTTTGTTTGCTTTGTGGGGATATATCCAGGAACAAGCCGTTTCATTTCAATATTCTGGTGAAATGAAGGTTTATATTTAAAATAGTTTACCTAATTCCTCCTTCACACTGTTTTTTCACAAATATATTTAACCATACAACAAAGAAAAGTGACTCAACCAACCCATTTCTCTTCGGTACAAACACTTGAGTAAATATATGAATTTTTCGTGCACTCTTACCTTAGTTTCGACCGTCCACTGCAGAAGATATTAATTCAATTTCTCAGTCTTCAGACTTTGCTAGTTGTTCGTTTTTCACGTCTTCCCACTATACGATGCTAATGTAGGAATGTGTGGAGTGCAATTGATCTCACGAACTTTATATAAGCGAGGGGAAGGAATGAAATGACCAAACCCAGGAAGTTCAGACGGAAAAAAAGAGGACAAAAAGCCATTAACCTTTCTCTAGAAACAAATTCCTCTCTTGACAAACTAAGTAACCATGAGATCTCAATGCTAGATTACTTGAAATATGTCAATTATAAGCCACGCTATTAGGTACGGGTGATTTTTTGTA